GGCCCGTTGGTTCAACCGGCCCATCGGACCAACATGCCAGCTGGTCCAACCAGTCTATCACACCAACAGCACACTTGATCCAACCGGTCCTTCGGACCAACAAGCCAGTTGATCCAACAAATCCATTGGACCAGTTGGTCGAACTGGTCCATTGGACCAATGAGACAGTTGATCCAACCAATCAATTGGACCAGTTGGTCCAACTAGTCCATTGGACCAACAAGACAGTTAGTCCAACCGGTCCATTGGACCAACAAGCCAGTTAGTCCAAGCGGTCCATCGGACCAATAGGCCATTTGGAAGAATCGGTCCATTGGAACACCAGGCTAATTGGTCCATCATAGGACCAACAGGCCAGTTGGAACAACCGGTCCATTGGACCAACAGGCCAGTTGATCAAATACGTCCATTGGACCAACAGGCTAGTTGGTCCAACCGGTCCACTAGACCAACAGACTAGTTGGTCCATCCGGTCCATTCGACCAGAAAGCAGGTTGGTCCAATCGGTCCATTAAACCAACATGCCAGTTGGTCCAACCGGTCTATTTGACCAACAAGCCCGTTGGTCCAACCGGTCCATCGAACCAACTGAACAGTTGTTGGCCAACTAGTCCATTGCACCAACAAGCTAGTTGGTCCAACCGGTCCATTGGACCAACAAGCCACTTGATCCAACGAATCTATTGGACCAGTTGGTTCAACTGGTCCATTGGACCAACAGGCCAGTTAGTTCAACCAGTCCAACGGACCAAAAGGCCAGTTGGAACAACCAGTCCATTGGACATACCGGTCCATTGGACAAACCGGACAGTTGGTCCAGCCGGTCAATCGGACCAACAGGCTAGTTGGTCCAACCAGTCCATCGGACCAACAGGCTAGTTGGTCCAACCGGTCTATTGTACCAACAGGCCAGTTGGTCCAACTGGTCCATCGGACCAATAGGCCAGATGATCCAACCAGTCCCATCGGTCCAACCGGTCGATTAGAACAACAAGCCTGTTGGTGGAACCGGTCCATCGGACCAATAGGCCCATTGGTTCAACTGGTCCATCGGACCAACAGGCCAATTGGTCCAACCGGTCCATAACCCCAACTGCACAATTGATCCAACTGGTCCTTCGGACCAACAAGTCAGTTGATCCAACAAATCCATTGGACCAGTTGGTCCAACTGGTCCATTGGACCAATAAGACAGTTGATCCAACCAATCAATTGGACCAGTTGATCCAACCAGTCTATTGGACCAACAGGACAGTTGGTCCAACCAGTCTATCTGACCAACAAGCCAGTTAGTCCAAGCGGTCGATCGGACCAATAGGCCATTTGGAAGAATCGGTCCATTTGAACACCAAGCTAGTTGATCCATTATAGGACCAACAGGCCAATTGGTCCAACCTGTCCATTGGACCAACAAGCGAATTGATCCAACATGTCCATTGGACCAACAGGCCAGTTGGTCCAACCGGTCCATTAGACCAACAGGCTAGTTGGTCCGACCGGTTCATTGGACCAATAGGAGTTGGTTCAATCGGTCCATTGGACAAACAGGCTACTTGATCCACCGAATCCATTGGACCAGTTGGTCCAACAAGTATATAGGACAAACCGGACAGTTGGTCCAGCTGGTCCATTGGGCCAACAGGACAGTTAGTTCAACCAGTCTAACGGACCAAAAGGCCAGTTGGAACAACCGGTCCACTGGCTCACCAGGTCAATTGGTCTTTCATAGGACCAATATGGCAGTTGGACCAACCAGTTCATTGGACCAACAGGCCCATTGGTCCAACCGGTCCATAAGACAAACAGACCAGTTGTAGGTCCAACCGGATCATTGGACCAACAGGCGAGTTGGTCCATCCAGTCCATTGGACGAAGAGGCCAATTGATCCAACCGATTCATTAGACCAACATGCCAGTTGGTCCAACCGCTCCATTTGACCAATATGGCAGTAGGTCCAACCGGTCCATTGGACCAACAGGCCTCCTAGTCCAAATGGTCCACTGGACCCATATAATAGTTGTTGGTCCAACCGGTCCATTGGACCAACAGGCCAGTTGGTCCAACCGGTCCATTGGACCAATATGCTAGTTGGTCCAAGTGGTCCATTGGACCAACAGGCAAGTTGGTCCAACCGGTCCATCAGACCAACTGGCCAGTTGGTCCAACACGTCTATCAGACCAACAGGCCAGTTGGTCCAACCGGTCCATTCACCTCACAAATCAGTTGGTCGAACCAGTTCATTTGCAACAGGCCAGTTGGTCCAACCGGTCCATCGGACCAACATGCCAGTTGGTCGAATCGGTCCATAGGACCAACATGCCAGGTGGTCCAACCGGTCCTCGACCAATAGGCAAGTTGGTCCAACCAGTCCATTGGACTAACAGGTCAGTTGGTCAAACCAGTTCATTTACAACTGGCCAGTTGGTCCAATCGGTCCATCGGACCAACAGGCCTGTTGGTCCAACCGGTTCATAGGACCAACAGGCCAGTTGGTCCAACCAGTCCATTTGACCAACAGGCTAGTTGATCCAACCGGTCTATTGGACCAACAGGCCAGTTGGTCCAACTGGTCCATCGGACCAACAGGCCAGTTGGTCCAACCGGTCCATTTAACCAACAGGCCAGTTGGTCCAACCGATCCATCGAACCAACAGGCCAGTTGGTCCAACCGATCCATCGAACCAACAGGCCAGTTGGTCCAACCAGTCCATCAGACCAACAGGCCTTTTTGTCCAACCGGTCCATTGGACCAACAGGCCAGTAGGTCCAACCAGTCCATCGGACCAGCAGGCCAGTTGGTCCAACCGGTCCATTTGACAAACAGGCCAGTTGATCCAACCGGTTTATCGGACCAACAGGCACGATTGGTCCAACCGTTCTATCAGACCAACAGTCCTGTTGGCCTAGCCGGTCCATCGGACCAACAGGTCGATTGGTCCAACCGTTACATCGGACAAAGAGGCCAATTTGTCCGACCGGACAATTGGACCAATAGGCCAATCATCCAACCGGTCCATTGAACCAATAGGCCCGTTGGTTCAATTGGTCCATTCGACCAACAGGCCAATGATGCAAGCAGTCTATTGAACCAATAGGCCAGTTGGTCCAACCAGTCCATTGGACCAACAAGCCAATGATCCAACTAGTCCATTGAACCAACCGGACGGTTGGTCCAACCAGTCCATTGGACCAATAGGCCACTTGGTAGAACCAATTCATTCGACCAACCCGGCTGTTGGTCCGACCGGTCCTTCGGACCAACAAGCCAGTTGGTCCAACCCGTGCATCCGACCAACAGGCCAATTTGTGAAGCCGGTCCATCTCACAAATGGGCCAATTGGTCCAACCGGTCCATCGGACCAACAAGCCAGTTGGTCCAACTGGTCCATAGGACCAACAGGCCAGTTGGTCAAACCGATTAATAGGACCAATAGCCAGGTTGATCCAACCGGTCCTTCACACCAACAAACCGCGAGTTGGTCCAACTGCTCTATCAGACCAACAGGCAAGTTGGTCGAACAGGTTCATTTGAACAACAGGCCAGTTGGTCCAACCGGACCATCGGACCAAAAGGCCAATTGGTCCAACCGGTCCATCAAACCAACAGGCTAGTTGGTCCAACCGGTCCATAGGACCAACAGGCCAATGATCCAACCGGTCCATTGGACCAATTGGCCCGTTGGTCCAACCGGTCTATTGGACCAACTGGCCAATAACCCAAGTGGTCCATTTGACCAACAGACCAGCTGGTCCAACCGGTCCTTTGGACCAACAGGCCAGTTGGTCCAACCGCTCCATCGGACCAACAGGCCGGTAAGTCCAACTGGTCCATCGAACCAGCAGGCGAAATGGTCCAACTAGTCCATTGGACCAAGAGGCAAGTTTGTCTAACTAATCCATTAGACCAAGAGGCGAGTTGGTCCAACCAGTCTATTAAACCAAAATGTCTATTGGTCCAACCGGTCCATCGGACCAACAGGCCTAGTTGGTCCAAGTGGTCCATCAGACCAATAGTCCGATTAGTCGAACCGTTCCATCTGCCCAACAGGCCAATTGGTCCAACCAAACCATTGGACCAACAGGCCAATGATCCAACCAGTCCATTGGACCAATAGGCTCGTTGGTCCAACCGATCTATCGGCCCAACAGGCCAATCATTCAAGCAGTCCATTTGACCAACAAACCACTTGGTCCAACTGGTCCATGGGACCAACAGGCCACTTGGTCCAACCTGTCCATCGGACCAATGAGCCGGTTGGTCTAACTGGTCCATTAGACCAACAGGCATGTTGGTACAACCGGTTTATTGGACCAATACGTCACGGATGCAGCTGGTCCATCGGACCCACAGGTGAGTTGGTCCAACCGGTCCATAAAACTAAAATGTATGTTGGTCCAACAAGACCATCAAACCAACTAGCCCAGTTGGTCCGACTGGTGTATCGGCCAACAGGCTGATTGGTCCAACCGTTCTATCGGACCAACAGGCCACTTGGTCCAACCGGACCATTGGACCAACAGACCAATGATCCAACCGGTCCATTGGACCAATAGGCACGTTGGTCCAACCAGTCCATTGGACCAAGAGGCCAATGATCCAAGCGGTCCATTCGACCAACGGGCCAGTTGGTCCAGCCGGTCCATTAGACCAACAAGCCAATGATCCAACCAGTCTATTGGACCAACAAGCTAGTTAGTCGAACTGATCAATAGGACCAATAGCCTGTTTGATCCAACCGGTCCATTGGACCAACATGCGAGTTGGTCGAACCGGTTTATTCGAGCAACAGGCCTGTTGGTCCAACCGGTCCATCGGACCAACAGGCCAGTTGGTCCGACTGGTCCATCTGACCAACAGGCCAGTTGGTCCAACCAGTCCATTGGACCAACAGGCCAATGATCCAGCCCGTCCATTGGACCAATAGGCCCATTGGTCCAACTAGTCCATTGGACCCAGCCCAGTACTGCTCTCGCCCACCGGCGCTTAGCTTCGGAGTTATGATGGGATCCGGCGTAGTAGCCGAGGTATGATCGTACCACGTCAACCTCGTGCCCCGACCGCTACACACCCCTTGCCCAGGTCCCCCCCTTCATAGTCACACCCCCTGCCCCCTCATGCCATTTTCTCCCCCCGCCCCTACCCTCCTCGTGCCCGATCTCTTGCCGCCTCTTTTGACCCTCCCTGCCCCCCTCGCCGTTTCCCACCGCCCGCCATTCGCTCCTCTCCGCCCGTGCGCTCCCCTAATTTACCTTCTCCTCCCCCCTCCCCTCCTCTGCTGCAGGCCTCTTCCTTCCTCTCGCCGACCCACTCCACTCCCTAACCCCTCCTCAATCCGCACCCTGCCCCTCGTATCTCGCCCCCCTATGCTTGGTTTCTCCCCTCCCTGCCCCTCGCCGCCTTTCCCTGCTCCCCACCTCCCCCTCTCCCTGCCCCCCCCCCTTTCCCCCCCCCTTGTCCTTGGCTTCCTACCTCCCTGCCTCACCTTTCCCCCCTCCGTGTGCTCAGCTTCTCCCCTCTCTGCTCCTCCCTCCTCCCCGCCCTGCCCCTCAATTTCCGCCCCTGCCACGCCCGGTTTCTCCCCTCCCCGCGCCTCCCTTTCTTTCTCCGTGCCTCTCCTTTGCTCCCTCCCTGCCCCCGCCTGCCCATGCCCCTGTCTTTGGCTTCTCCCCTCCCTGCCCCACGTTTCTTCCCTCCCTGCCCCCCGTCTGCCCCTCCCTTGTTTTCCCCTCACCCATTGCTTCTCTCCTCCCTGCCCTTGATTTCCCACACCCCTGCCCTCGTTTCCTATCATCCATGCCCCTCGTTTCCCCCCTTTGTACGTTCAGCCTCTTCCCTCCCTGCCCCTCCCTTCCTCCCCCCCTGCCCTTTGCTCTCCCCTCGTTACGCTCCCTTCTCCCCATCCCTGCTGCCCTCTTACCACCATCAGCCCATCCCCACGACCAGCCCCCCTCCCACCCTTCAATCCCCCCCTCCCTCTCTCTCTCTCTCTCTCTCTCTCTCTCTCTCTTTCTCACACACACACACACACGCACACTCCCCTCCCCCACCCCCCCCCACCTACATCCTCCCATTCTGCCCCTCCCTGCCCCTTTCCCACCCCCTCGCACGCCCCTCACCTCCCACCTCCGTGCAACTGGTTTCCCCCCTATGGTGCCACCCTTGCATCGCTCGCCCCTCTGCTCACCCTCTGCCCGCCCCTTTTCCGTGCCCTCAGTTGGCCCAGCCCCTGCCCGTTGCTGCCCCTCCCCTTGCCCCCTCAACTCCCCTGCCCCCCGTACACCCCAAGTCCCATCCAACCGCCCCCACCCTCCCCCGGCTGCCCGTTTCCGCTCTCCACCCCCGCGACCGTGTGCGGCTTCCAACCGCCCAACGGTGGTGCGCACGGGGCGTTTCTTCGCATGGGCAAGCCTCCCCGGGGGCCCCCCACCCCGCTGGGTCGTTGTTTGGGCAAAAAAACGAAAAGAAAAGAATCGGACGCGCTAAAATCGTCCTTTCTTTTTCCCGCTTGCCCCTCCCCCGGCACGTGCCGAGCAAGGGGCATAAATGGGTACAACACGAGGACTTCCCGGGAGGTCACCCAGCCCAGTACTGCTCTCGCCCACCGGCGCTCTTACCTTGACCTAGCTTACCTAGCCATGGCTGCCTACTAAGGAGCCTCCTAAACCTACTATTTCGAGTTGCTTAAGGACAAAGTGATTGTGATAGTTGTTTATGTTATAGTTATAAGCGTTCCCAACGGTTAGTTTTTTAGTTTCGACTGTCGAGTTCGACGGGACGGGGGTCGCGAGTTTCGCGCGCGACCCTCAGGAGTCTCGGAAACGGAACTCGCGGGGTGTTACTGAACCGCTCGTTCGACCCTGCCATCGCGGGAAGGCTGCGGACGCGCTGCAGCCGGTGTAACGGAAGGTGGGGCGTTGACGCGAAGTTCGCCCGCGGAGTGTAACAGCGCGCGCGACTCACAACCACAACTCCGCCAGACACGGTGTTCCCTCCCATCCCCTCTCTCGACACTCTCCCTTATCCCCCGCTCTTTTCTGCCCACGGCTTTGCTATTCGAAGCGATTAGCAAATACCGAGTCACTTCCCGCGGTTTCCCTCTCTCGAAGTCACTGAGCTTAGCTTCCGCCCGTAGTTAGCATTCTTCCTTCCCTTTCAGTGCGCCCTTCTTTATCGAAACCCTAATTCGAAGAGCCGCGCGTTTTCAAGCACGCTTTCTCGTCGCCTATCACGCTTAGTCACGCACTCTTTTTTTTTTTCCCCGCCCGTTCAATCTAGCCGCGACGTAGACGGAACCGCGCACGGGGCGCTCACCGCCAGGGAAAGGCAGCGCGGAGGGAGGCGAAATTGCTACGTTCGTAGCGATTAAGCAGCCCTCCCCTTGCGCGCCTCCCGAAGCGCGTTTTCTGCCTAGAGCGTTTTAGCCGCCCACGTTTGGCACACAAGCCGCCCCACTCCCCTTTTGCTCACTCCCACCCTGCCGTGCCTCGTCGCGCACTCGTGCATGCCACCCACACGTCGTAATTTTACCCCGTCGCCACCCACATAGTCACCTCCCTGCTCACACCGCCCCTTTCCCCCTCACACGCGCGCTTTAGCCACCCCGCCACCTAACCTCTTTCCCTAACGGCGCTTAGCTAGCAGAGGCCGCCCTGTCTCTGGAAACCGTAGGAAATAAGAGGAAACAACTTCAAGGAAAAAAGAAAAGAAAAAAGAAATTCATATAAATCGGAAAAAACCAGGAAAAATCAGAAAGGCAGCTTACACCTTGTTCTCCCAACCCTCCAGGGCCCCATCCAGTCCGCCACCCCCCCATTCTGTTTCATCATACTACACCACACCCTCCCCTTTTGCCCACCAGCATTACCGCCCCTCTCCCCTTATCCCCCACCACGCCCCCAAGCAGGCCTTTCTCCCCCCAGCCCCCCGTCTCCCTGCCCTTAGTACCGCCGCGCTCTGCCCGCGCGTCACCCTCGCCCACTTCATACCACCTCCCCCTTCTCCCCCCCCAGGCTTCCCCCTATCATCACCCGCATGATCCCCCACTCCCCTGTCCACAACGTCCCTCCTCCACCCCCCCTCCTGCCTTCCCCACTCCCACTCTGTCCCCCGCACCTCTACGAGCCGTACCTCCCCCTCCAGCCTCCCTTTTCCCCCCCAGCTATTTCCGCATCCAGCGTGGGCTGCACCTCTGCATCCTGCCCTGCCAGGCCCTCCGAGGACCCAACTGCCGCCACCTGACACCACGCCGCCTTTCCCACCCTCATCCAATCTCTACACCCCCTGCCCCTGCTCCCTGCGCAATCCAGCCACCTACCCCAGCCTCCCTCTACCTCTCCCTAACTCCACGCTGCCGTTCCTACCCCCAGCCAGGGTCTACACCCCTTGCTTTTGCTCCCTGTGCTGTGCCGTCCCCAACCTCTGTCCGCCTTTCCGCGGCACCAGACCGCCTCTCCCTCCCCCAGCCAACCTCTGCACCCCCTGTTCCTGCCCCTTGTGCCTTCCAACACCCTACCCCAACCCCCCCCAGTCTCCCCCTTCTCCAACACCCTCCATATTTCCTCCCCCCTGGGGCTCGCCCATCCGCAGGTATCACCCTTCATCAATTCCCCAATTCCCTCTGTCCCCTGTTTCCCGGCCCCGCATCTTTCTCTGCATTTACCACAGCGCCTCCTTTCGGTGCCCTCTCGGCCCTCCCACGTTCTCACCCCCCGCCCTCCAACCTTCTCATTACCCGCTACCAGGCTCACGCCAACCCGACTACCCACTACCCTTTGCCCCTTCCTCTCTGTTCCCCACCCTTCCTCCCCCACTTGGCTCCACCTGCCCACCCCCACCTCCCGTGGAATTCTGCCCTGCCCTCCCCACCTCTGGCCCACCACCTGTCCCCACACCCTGCTCACCCACCACTACATCACCCCCGCCCCCCCACCCCCACTACAGCCCGCCAACACTTCCCCTCTCAACCGGCCCCCAGCCCGCCCCCCCCTTGGGCCCCAATCCCCTCCAACTGTCAGGCCCCCTCTACCCTCTCTTCCACTCACTGCGCACCGCTTTCCCCACCCTTTTTCCATTTCCCCAAGCTAACCCCCCGCACCCCGGCCTCTGCCAGGGAGTTCCTTCCCCCTTGGACGCCCTCTTGAGCCAACTCCAGCAACTCACACCGCCACCGCCAGGCATGCTGCCTCTGTAACAATGCCCCAGCACCCCGCGAGTGGGGAAAAGGCAGACCCGGGAGCCCCTCGGCGATCTAGGAGGTCCCGCAGCCGAGCCACCCCCTACTCTCCCACTCCCCCCACTTCAACAGTCAGGAAGAAACAACACACACTTGACCAAGCGAAAACACTCACACAATCTGATCCTAGGGGCCAGAAGCGTACCCTTGAAGAGGATGGAACAGAGGAACGCCAAGCCCCACTGGAGGAAATACACAAGGAGGAGCCAGCACGCTCAAAACCGCGCCCTACCCCCGCGGCCCCATCCCAGCCTACCCCCCCTTCAGGTGACAGCGGGGACGGCACCCATGCATGCCAAGTGGAGAGATCCCCCAACTCTCTCGCTACTTCCCATTCGCAAACCAGATTACTTGTGAAAACACGTAATCCTACTAGCACCCCCAAGCACATAGAAGCGGGAGGGGGCAGAGCCAGGGGGGAACTTGCAGCTAACACTACACGGGAAGGGATAAGTGAATGTGTGTGCAAAGGAGCAGCAGAGGCTGCAGAGGATGGGGCAGCAAAGGCTGCACGGGAAGGGGCAATGGGGGGTGTGGGGGAAGGGGCAGCAGAGGTTGCAGAGGAAAGGGCAGCAGAGGCTGCAAGGGAAGGGGCAGCAGCGGCTGCACGGGAAAGGGCGGCAGAGGCTGCACGGGAAGGGGCGGCAGGGACCGTGACTCTGGCCAGGCAAAGGGCAGAGGCCATGGAGACAGGTTTTGCAGGAGTAGGGGCCACGGAACCTGCAGCTGTGTCGGCTGGGGGAACCGCAGCAGAGGAGGCTATAGGGACCGCACCAGGCGAGGCCGCACAGACCACAGCAGGTGTGGCTGCAGGGATCACAACGGGTGAGGCTGCAGGAGGGACCATGGCAGGTGAAGCCGCAGAGAGCGCAGTAGGTGAGGCTGTAGGGAGCGCAGCAGGGGAGGCTGCAGAGAGCGCAGCAGGTGAGGCCGCAGGGAGCGCAGCAGGCGAGGCTGCAGGGAGCGCAGCAGGCGAGGCTGCGGGGAGCGCAGCAGGCGGGGCTGCAGGGGCCGCAGCAGGTGAGGCTGCGGCGGACGCAGCAGGTGAGGCTGCGAGGGCTGCAGCATGTAAGGTTGGGCAGACTCTAGCAGGTGAGGCTGCACAGGCTACAGCTGGTGAGGTCGCAGGGACTGCAACAGGTGAGGCCGCAGGGACTGCAGCAGGTGAGGCTGCAGGGACCACAGCGGATGAGGCTGCAGGCGGGATCAGGGCAGGTGAGGCCGCAGGGAGCACAGCAGGTGAGGCTGAAATAGCCGCAGCAGTTGAGGTTGAGCAGATTCTAGCAGGTGAGGCCGCACAGACTGCAGCAGGGGAGGCCGCAGGGACTGCAGCAGGTGAGGCTGCAGGGACTGCTGCACGTGAGGCTGCAGGGACCGCGGCAGGCAAGGCTGCAGGGACCGCGGCTGGTGAGGCTGAGCAGATTACGGCAGGCGAAATTTTACAGACTGCAGCAGTCGAGGCTGCAAGGACTGCAGCAGGAGCGACAGAGGCCACAGTGGGGGCCGGTACAGGGGGAGGTGCTACGGGTGCAGCGGGGAAGGGGGTAACGGGGACTGGTGTGAGGGAGAGTGCTGCCTCGGTTGTAGCAAGAGAGGGTACGGCAGGGGCTAGAGTGGGAGAAGGGACAGCAGTGGCCTCAAAGGCAGAAGGTGAGGCTGCAGCTGAAGCAGCAGGGAGGGCCATAGCACGGCCAGTAGGGGCGGCAGGGGCCGCAGCAAACGCGGGGAAACACACAGCAGGGCCGGCAGAGACCGCAAAAGGGGCTAGCAGTAAAGCGGCAGCAGGCGGGGTGGGCTCGGGGGACATAGGGGCAACAGGGGAAGGAGAGGTGAGTGTGGTCCCGACCGGGGTGGGCACGGAAGAGGGGGATGTGATAGCGATAGAGGAGGATGAGGGAGAGGATGTGATGCACATTGACGGGCCACTGGCCCAATACCTCACGCCTGACGGTGAGGCCGACCCGGCCCCCCTGCAGCCTCACGTCGAGGTTCCCCCTCTACCCCCCATGCCCGTCCACATGCTAGCAGAAGGACCGATGGAGGGGCTGGGGGAGACCTTGAGGACAGAGCCGCACGAGGGAGCCCCCATCCTCACCTCCCGTCCTCCAGCCCACCCACCCCCAGGAGCACCATTTCCCCACCCCCACCCTCAGGTCCCGGTAGTATCCAGGGGGGCAGCCAAGGCCCTGGCCTTCTTGGCGGAGCCGTGCTCCCCGACCCCCACGTTGCTCCATGGCCAGCCCCCCTCTCCGTCCCCAACCCCTGACCCCACGGTTGCAGGCGGTCCACCGGGAGAGCACGCGGGTGCGACAAGAGCAGAGTCACCCGAGGGCACCCCTTCTCTCACCTCTCACCCCTCCCCGCCCCTTCCCTCACTCCTCCCCTCACCCCCAAGGGCAGCACACCTCTGCCCCCACCCTCAGGGGCTCCTTAGAGCACCACGTGGAGCAGCCAGGGCTCTGGCCTTCCTAGAGGAGCCATGCTCCCCGACCCCTACCAACACCCAGCCACCCCCTACCGGCCCACTACCCCCCCCTCCACCAGGCCCCCCCCCACCCGGTAGTACACACATCTCGGAGGTTGAAGCATCTCTGCGGCCAAATCCCTCTCCCACACGCTACAGGCACCCAAACCACCCGAGTCGCCGCACAGCCCCAACACGCCCACCCAACAGGCTGCCCCCCTCACACCACCCCCCCCAGGCAGCCGAGACCCACCCGCAAGGGCTTGCGCCCCAGGCTCATGGGAGCGGCGGCACCCGGGTAGAGGGGCCCACAGGAGAGGCCACCACAGAGCCCACACAAACCCCTCTCCCCCCACCGTTTGTACCTCGCTCTAACCTCCACACTGGCCCAGCCCCTCGACCCCCACCTTCAACCCCCCCTCCCGGCCGGGTTCCCCACGAGTGGCCCCGTTGGGCAGCCATCACCCCCCACACACAGCCTGCCCGATCTGTCCCCACGGAGGGGGATGTCTCGAGGAGAGAGGGCATGCACACAGAGCACCCCCCGCCCGGCGAACCACCCATCCTCCCTCCAACCACCCCTTTGGCCCCACAGCCCCCCCTTCCTTCACAAACAGGCGCGGACAACCGGGTTGGCCGCCGGCGGAAGAACAGGGGCAGAGGAGGCAGAGGGTCAGCCCACGTACTCCCCCCTCCCTCCCTCCCCCACCAAGAGCCCCTCCCCACCCCGCATCCTGTTGAACCCTTACCAGGCCCTACCGCTACAGCCCGACCACCAAACCCACACTCCCGCCCCGCTCCTACACCTCCACAGGGCCATGGGAGCGGACCAGCCCACTCTCCCCTATTCTGCCCCTCCCTTGATGTGTCCCCCTCCCAGGTGGCGGCGGCCGCGATCGCTACGGGGATGGAGGCCGTCGGGTTGAGGGATGCGCCCATGGAAGACGCCACCGACTCCCCCTCCCATCCCTCCCACCCCTTCCATGTCGACGACCCCCTACCGCAACCCATGGTGATTGGGGAGGGCCAAGGGGGCCTCCTAGGGCAGGGTCCACACCCGAGCTCCGCTCAGCCAGCAAGCCCCACTCCACCCTCTACCCTGCCAGCCCTCCTACTCTCACCTACAGGCAGGCAGGTTTTCGAGACCCCAGAGGAGGTGAGGGCTGGCATTTCAGATTTGCTGGCGATACACCGCCCGAGCAGCTCTCCGGCTGCCCCCACCCTCCCAGTCCCACAGGACCGGACCCGGACGTATGCGGAGGTCACCCGGTCTGTCCCTTCTTTTATCCCCCCTGCCACTCAGCCAGGCGCGTCACTCCCGACCCCAATGGAGACGGACCAGGTTCAGAGGCCGTGTCACGCGCACCTAGATGGGGTGGCGCCTCCCCCCGTTCAGCCCGTGGCGCAGGAGGTCACCAGCAGTAGGGATGAGGCATCCGCCCCTACCGAGACCCCTCCGCCTGGGGCAGCAGAGCCGTCACTTGAACCGCACCTCGCCGAGGGGCAGGAGCACACCACGGCACACACTTCAGGCTCACCCCCACGTCCCCCCTCCCCAGCTTCGACACCGGTTCCGGCACGAGGCCCGGCCCTATCCTGTGCGACACCACCTCTATCTTCGCTGACACCCCCCATGCACGGGGTTGGTGAGTCATCGCCTCCCCTCATCCCAGGCGATCCTCTCGGAGCTCAGGCCGCCCACGGGGTCCCCTCTACAGCCAGTTCCGACGCCACGGCCCCGATTGACCCCGCCGACACGGCGATATCACCCGACCAGGTCGTGAGTTGCCCCACCTGCAGGAGCTCTCTCGCGAACCGACGCGCGCTCCAGCACCACTTTCCCTTCTGCCATCCTGCGGACGCGGCTCGCAGGGCGCAGGCTGCCCATGACACCGCCTCGATCATCCCTTCCCTCTCACAGCCCCGTGCGACCGGGATACAGTTCACCGACGCACAGTGGCAGACGCTCGACTCGGTGGACTGGACAGAGTACTTCTCGCCCGAGCGTATCCATGCACGCCCTCTCCAACGTGTCCCGGAGAGGGTCCGCGGAGGATATCTCGACGTCCTCAGTGCGATCCTAGTCCGCATTGCCCAGGACCCGGAGGCTGCTGGCCCTACCTTCCTCCTCGCCGCAGCGCCGACTCTTTTCCTTGTTCCAGCGACGCCACCCGACCGCTCGCACACGGCTGCCATTGCAACGCGCATCTCCCGCTTTGGTCGAGGTGAGTGGGCTGAGCTAGTCTCAGATGCACTAGGCCGTCGCACACCCCTTCCCCGGCGCACAGGTCACCGGTCACGCACCGCCACCGATCCCTCTACAGCAGATGAGCGCCGCATCGCACGTTGCCTACGTCTGGCAGCGTGCAATGAGACCTCACGGGCGTGCGCGGCTCTCGAGTCCGCGGAGGCAGCCCCAGATACACAGGGGACGATACAGCGCCTGCAGTCGAAGCACCCCAACGCGGAGAGGCCGACCCCAGCTTGGCAGTCTGGCTTCCAGGGGTCCCCTCTCGTGCTCTCGGTGGACCACTTACACCGCGCGATTTTCACAGCTCCGCGGGGCTCTTCGGGAGGACCGTCCGGTTGGGTCGCTGAGCACCTGCGAGACACTTTCCTAGCTTTCCCCCAGAGTCTCCATTTCCTCCTGGCCGTGTACCAGCAGTGGCTCCGAGGCCGTTGCGCTCCAGCTACGCGCTCCTTGCTAGCGTCTTCCACCCTCGTGGCTCTGGCGAAGTCGAACATGGATGTTCGGCCGATTGCCATCGGCGAGGTCTTGGTCCGCATTCTTTCTCGTGCAGTCTGTCTCCAGCTACGTGACCAGATGGCGAGGGTCTTCTTGGCGTCACAGCAGTTTGGGGTGGGGGTTACGTGCGGGACAGAGGTCGTAGTTAGAGGCGTCCGCCGCGCTCTGGCTGACCACCCAGACTGGGTGGTCCTGCAGCTAGACGTGGCGAACGCCTTTAACTCTTTCCACCGAGACAGGATGTTCCAGGCGCTGCAGGCCAGCCCGGAGTTCCAGTGCCTGATCCCCTTCATCGGCCTCTTCTACGGGACGCCCTCGGATCTCCACTACAGGTCAGGCACGGGAGTGGTCACGATGCACTCGGAGCGGGGCACTCGCCAGGGAGACCCTCTCAGCCCCTTCTTGTACGCTCTGACACAGCGTCTTGCTTTGGAGCCGGTTCTGGTGGAGGGGGATGTCCAGCTCTGGTCGTACGCCGATGACACGTACGTGCTAGGTCCCCCAGACAGGGTGCTGCACCACTTTGCCGAGATCGTGAGGCGCTTGGGCGAGATGGGCCTTGCAGCCCAGCCGCACAAGTGCCTCGTCTACCAGACAGAGTCCTTTCTGTCCAGGGATCTGGAGGCCTTCACGGGCCTAGGGATCGAGGTCGCACGCCGAGGGCTCACCGTGACAGGCGTACCGGTAGGCACCGTTTCGTTCGTGGAGCAGAGTCTCCCGGATCGTCTCGAGAGGATGGGGCGGGTGCTACCTTGGCTTCCGAGGTTGCGCCAGCCCCAGACAGCTGCCCGCCTTCTGTCGGCGTGTGTCAGCACTCGTCCGCAGTACCTGTCGAGGACCGTCCCTCCTTCGCCCGCAGTGATCTCTAGTTTTACACGGTGGGACGCACGCCTGGGAGAGACATTTCAGCAGCTTTTAGCTTCAGGGACCTGGGCTTGTCGCGAGGACGTCCGAGAGGCCGCCCTAGACCAGATCTTCCTCCCCATCCGTCTCGGGGGTTTCGGCATTCGTCGCATGGCACGCATTGCCCCGGTGAGTTTCGTGTGCTCCTGGGTGCAGTGTGCTCCCATTCTCTGTTCTCTCCCTGCGTGTGGCGAGGCGTTTCGGCAGAGCTTCGCTTCAGGTGAGCCAGGGCAGATCGACCGGGCTCTGCAGACGGCGCTAGAGGGTCTCCCACCTGACGTTCTCTCTCTCCTTCCCCCCTGGCCCTCTTGCGCTTCTGCCTCCCCCGATTCCCTTTTTGCAGGAGCGAGCCGTCTTCTGGAGGCGCATGCCTTGGAGGCCGTGCGTGCCCGTCACGCCTCTCCCTTGCACCTTGCCCGTTTGACTTCCCTTCAGGGCGCAGGTGCAGGGGCGTGGTTGACGTCGGTGCCGTACGCTGACCCACTGCGCATCCCGGAGGCGCTGTGGCAGGCGGCTTCATCTTCTCGTCTTGGTCTCCCTATCCCCCAGTTAGCCCTTGCAGGTCAGTGCTCCTGCGGACAGGCGATTGACGACATGACGGTGCCTCATCACGCGGTTCGGTGCCCGCGCTACGGGGTCGCCACTACCATCCACGACACGGTGAAGTACATGCTTCGAGACTTTGCGGTCGAGGCGGGCTTCGCAGTAAAGGTGGAGGACTCTACGCTGTTCACACAGTTGGAGGCGGCTCGAGCGAGACTACTGGGACAGCCAGTGGTGGGAGAGGGGACGCGGGCTGAGGGACCGGGGGAGCAGAGAGGCGAGGCGGGATCGCCGGGTGGCGGGGGACAGTGGGGACAGCACCAGCTGCGGGGTCAGGTGGAGCGAGGGATAGGGGGGCAGAGGGGTCGGCAGGGGGAGCAGACGGGCCAGGACGGAGAGGGGAGACGGCACAGGCAGCAGCAGGAGAGCCAGGGGAGGCCGCGGGCCCAGGGCGCCGCGCCTCCAGGTTCGGCCTCGGGGGTGGGGCAGGGGCGGGAGCAGCAGAGAGCGGACGGAGGTACAGGAGGGGCAGCGGGATTGGGAGGGGAGGGCCAGGGAGTGAGAGAGGCAGCAGGGGATGGAGCAGGGGGGTCGGGAGGGTTGGGGGAGGGTAGAGAGGGGGAGGGGAGAGGACAGGTGGATGGAGGAGAGGAGAGGGGGAGAGAGACGATCGGAGAGGAGGCACCAAGGGACCAGACAAGGCAGCAGCCAGCGCAACAGCAGGGACCAGTCGGACGCACAGGCCGTGTAGGCACCGCCTCCCGCATCCCAGACCTCACCTGCCGCGACGTTGGCCAGGGTCTGATGGTTCTTGTGGATGTCTCCATAGCAGATCCACAGCGGGAGGGGAACGTGCAGCTGAGACGGGCGACCCCCACATAGATTGGAGTGGCAGCAGCTAGACGGGTGCAGGAGAAGCTGAGGCACTGGGGGCCGCACTTAGAGGGGCTGCAGCCGGCACCACACTTTTACGCGTGCGTGGCGGAGACATTTGGCCTTTTGAGTGAGCCGCTGCGTCAGTTTCTGGGGCTCTGCGCAAAGAGGATAGCACAGCGGAGGAGGGATAGAGGTGGGGGGGGATGACGGATCGGCACGGATATTTGAGGCAGGACTCACTACACGCCTCTCCGTTGCACTGCAGCGCGCGCAGGCTCAATGCATGATCCAGCATGCGGTGCGGCAGTTAGGGGGATCCGACGACGGGTGGATGCCCGCACCAGTCCCACTGGGTGCGGGGCAGGGTACTTGGCACCACGTCACAGGGTGCTTCGAGAGTGTGGCTGATATGCAGTATATATATGATGCATATGCGTAAAAAACAATAGTGGCTGTGCTTGAAACGCTGTGCCCGTGCGGTCGTGCGGGTTGCTGCCGTGTTTTGGTCCTTTGGTGCTTCCTCCTCCTTAGTCTCTCTCCCTCTCTCCTCTTCTCTTCCCACCTCCCTCTTTCTGTTCCCTTCTTCTATCCTTCCCTTCTCTTCCTACCACCCTCTTCTTTTCCCTACCACTTTTTCTTACTCCTTCATCCTTCCTTCCTTTCCTTTCTTTCCCCCTTTTCCTACAAAATATATATACCGTCCTCATAGCGATAAGGCTATGTCGAAATTTCCTAGTCTTGGAAAAACCATTACATTCGGCTTGTATTTGCTCTTCCCCTATTAATGAATAACTGCTCTCGCCCACCGGCGCTTAGCTTCGGAGTTCTGATGGGATCCGGCGTAGTAGCCGAGGTATGATCGTACCACGTCAACCTCGTGCCCCGACCGCTACACACCCCTTGCCCGGGTCCCCCCCTTCATAGTCACACCCCCTGCCCCCTCATGCCATCCGCTCCCCCCGCCCCTACCCTCCGCGTGCCCGCTCCCTTGCCGCCTCTTTTGACCCTCCCTGCCCCCCCTCGCCGTTTCCCACCGCCCGCCATTCGCTCCTCCCCGCCCGTGCGCTCCCCTCCTTTACCTTCTCCTCCCCCCTCCCCTCCTCTGCTGCACGCCTCTTCCTTCCCCTCGCCGACCCACTCCACTCCCTGCCCCTCCTCAATCCGCACCCTGCCCCTCGTATCTCGCCCCCCTATGCTTGGTTTCTCCCCTCCCTGCCCCTCGCCGCCTTTCCCCGCTCCCCACCTCCCCCCTCTCCCTGCCCCCCCCACTCTCCCCCCCCCTTGTCCTTGGCTTCCTACCTCCCTGCCTCACCTTTCCCCCCTCCGTGTGCTCAGCTTCTCCCCTCCCTGCCCCTCCCTCCTCCCCGCCCTGCCCCTCATTTTCCGCCCCCCCCACGCCCGGTTTCTCCCCTCCCCGCGCCTCCCTTTCTTTCTCCGTGCCTCTCCTTTGCTCCCTCCCTGCCCCCGCCTGCCCATGCCCCTGTCTTTGGCTTCTCCCCTCCCTGCCCCACGTTTCTTCCCTCCCTGCCCCCAGTCTGCCCCTCCCTTGTTTTCCCCTCACCCATTGCTTCTCTCCTCCCTGCCCTTGATTTCCCACACCCCTGCCCTCGTTTCCTATCATCCATGCCTCTCGTTTCCCCCCTTTGTACGTTCAGCCTCTTCCCTCCCTGCCCCTCCCTTCCTCCCCCCCTGCCCTTTGCTCTCCCCTCGTTACGCTCCCTTCTCCCCATCCCTGCTGCCCTCTTACCACCATCAGCCCATCCCCACGACCAGCCCCCCTCCCACCCTTCAATCCCCCCCTCCCTCTCTCTCTCTCTCTCTCTCTCTCTCTCTCTCTTTCTCACACACACACACACACGCACACTCCCCTCCCCCACCCCCCCCCACCTACATCCTCCCATTCTGCCCCTCCCTGCCCCTTTCCCACCCCCTCGCACGCCCCTCACCTCCCACCTCCGTGCAACTGGTTTCCCCCCTATGGTGCCACCCTTGCATCGCTCGCCCCTCTGCTCACCCTCTGCCCGCCCCTTTTCCGTGCCCTCAGTTGGCCCAGCCCCTGCCCGTTGCTGCCCCTCCCCTTGCCCCCTCAACTCCCCTGCCCCCCGTACACCCCAAGTCCCATCCAACCGCCCCCACCCTCCCCCGGCTGCCCGTTTCCGCTCTCCACCCCCGCGACCGTGTGCGGCTTCCAACCGCCCAACGGTGGTGCGCACGGGGCGTTTCTTCGCATGGGCAAGCCTCCCCGGGGGCCCCCCACCCCGCTGGGTCGTTGTTTGGGCAAAAAAACGAAAAGAAAAGAATCGGACGCGCTAAAATCGTCCTTTCTTTTTCCCGCTTGCCCCTCCCCCGGCACGTGCCGAGCAAGGGGCATAAATGGGTACAACACGAGGACTTCCCGGGAGGTCACCCAGCCCAGTACTGCTCTCGCTCCAGGTTCGGCCTCGGAGGAGGGGCAGGGGCGGGAGCAGCAGAGAGCGGACGGAGGTACAGGAGGGGCAGCGGGATTGGGAGGGGAGGGCCAGGGAGTGAGAGAGGCAGCAGGGGATGGAGCAGGGGGGTCGGGAGGGTTGGGGGAGGGTAGAGAGGGGGAGGGGAGAGGACAGGTGGATGGAGGAGAGGAGAGGGGGAGAGAGACGATCGGAGAGGAGGCACCAAGGGACCAGACAGGGCAGCAGCCAGCGCAACAGCAGGGACCAGTCGGACGCACAGGCCGTGTAGGCACCGCCTCCCGCATCCCAGACCTCACCTGCCGCGACGTTGGCCAGGGTCTGATGGTTCTTGTGGATGTCTCCATAGCGGATCCACAGCGGGAGGGGAACGTGCAGCTGAGACGGGCGACCCCCACACAGATTGGAGTGGCAGCAGCTAGGCGGGTGCAGGAGAAGCTGCGGCACTGGGGGCCGCACTTAGAGGGGCTGCAGCCGGCACCACACTTTTACGCGTGCGTGGCGGAGACCTTTGGCCTTTTGAGTGAGCCGCTGCGTCAGTTTCTGGGGCTCTGCGCAAAGAGGATAGCACAGCGGAGGAGGGATAGAGGTGGGGGGGATGACGGATCGGCACGGATATTTGAGGCAGGACTCACTACACGCCTCTCCGTTGCACTGCAGCGCGCGCAGGCTCAATGCATGATCCAGCATGCGGTGCGGCAGTTAGGGGGATCCGACGACGGGTGGATGCCCGCACCAGTCCCACTGGGTGCGGGGCAGGGTACTTGGCACCACGTCACAGGGTGCTTCGAGAGTGTGGCTGATATGCAGTATATATATGATGCATATGTGTAAAAAAAAAAAAAAAAAAAAAAAAAAAAAAATAGTGGCTGTGCTTGAAACGCTGTGCCCGTGCGGTCGTGCGGGTTGCTGCCGTGTTGTGGTCCTTTGGTGCTTCCTCCTCCTTAGTCTCTCTCCCTCTCTCCTCTTCTCTCCCCACCTCCCTCTTTCTGTTCCCTTCTCCTGTCCTTCCCTTCTCTTCCTACCACCCTCTTCTTCTCCCTACCACCTCTTCTTACTCCTTCATCCTTCCTTCCTTTCCTTTCTTTCCCCCTTTTCCTACAAAATATATATACCGTCCCCATAGCGATAAGGCTATGTCGAAATTTCCTAGTTTTGGAAAAACCATTATATTCGGCTTGTATTTGCTCTTCCCCTATTAATGAATAACTGCTCTCGCCCACCGGCGCTTAGCTTCGGAGTTCTGATGGGATCCGGCGTAGTAGCCGAGGTATGATCGTACCACGTCAACCTCGTGCCCCGACCGCTACACACCCCTTGCCCGGGTCCCCCCCTTCATAGTCACACCCCCTGCCCCCTCATGCCATCCGCTCCCCCCGCCCCTACCCTCCGCGTGCCCGCTCCCTTGCCGCCTCTTTTGACCCTCCCTGCCCCCCCTCGCCGTTTCCCACCGCCCGCCATTCGCTCCTCCCCGCCCGTGCGCTCCCCTCCTTTACCTTCTCCTCCCCCCTCCCCTCCTCTGCTGCACGCCTCTTCCTTCCCCTCGCCGACCCACTCCACTCCCTGCCCCTCCTCAATCCGCACCCTGCCCCTCGTATCTCGCCCCCCTATGCTTGGTTTCTCCCCTCCCTGCCCCTCGCCGCCTTTCCCCGCTCCCCACCTCCCCCCTCTCCCTGCCCCCCCCACTCTCCCCCCCCCTTGTCCTTGGCTTCCTACCTCCCTGCCTCACCTTTCCCCCCTCCGTGTGCTCAGCTTCTCCCCTCCCTGCCCCTCCCTCCTCCCCGCCCTGCCCCTCATTTTCCGCCCCCCCCACGCCCGGTTTCTCCCCTCCCCGCGCCTCCCTTTCTTTCTCCGTGCCTCTCCTTTGCTCCCTCCCTGCCCCCGCCTGCCCATGCCCCTGTCTTTGGCTTCTCCCCTCCCTGCCCCACGTTTCTTCCCTCCCTGCCCCCCGTCTGCCCCTCCCTTGTTTTCCCCTCACCCATTGCTTCTCTCCTCCCTGCCCTTGATTTCCCACACCCCTGCCCTCGTTTCCTATCATCCATGCCCCTCGTTTCCCCCCTTTGTACGTTCAGCCTCTTCCCTCCCTGCCCCTCCCTTCCTCCCCCCCTGCCCTTTGCTCTCCCCTCGTTACGCTCCCTTCTCCCCATCCCTGCTGCCCTCTTACCACCATCAGCCCATCCCCACGACCAGCCCCCCTCCCACCCTTCAATCCCCCCCTCCCTCTCTCTCTCTCTCTCTCTCTCTCTCTTTCTCACACACACACACACACGCACACTCCCCTCCCCCGCCCCCCCCCCACCTACATCCTCCCATTCTGCCCCTCCCTGCCCCTTTCCCACCCCCTCGCACGCCCCTCACCTCCCACCTCCGTGCAACTGGTTTCCCCCCTATGGTGCCACCCTTGCATCGCTCGCCCCTCTGCTCACCCTCTGCCCGCCCCTTTTCCGTGCCCTCAGTTGGCCCAGCCCCTGCCCGTTGCTGCCCCTCCCCTTGCCCCCTCAACTCCCCTGCCCCCCGTACACCCCAAGTCCCATCCAACCGCCCCCACCCTCCCCCGGCTGCCCGTTTCCGCTCTCCACCCCCGCGACCGTGTGCGGCTTCCAACCGCCCAACGGTGGTGCGCACGGGGCGTTTCTTCGCATGGGCAAGCCTCCCCGGGGGCCCCCCACCCCGCTGGGTCGTTGTTTGGGCAAAAAAACGAAAAGAAAAGAATCGGACGCGCTAAAATCGTCCTTTCTTTTTCCCGCTTGCCCCTCCCCCGGCACGTGCCGAGCAAGGGGCATAAATGGGTACAACACGAGGACTTCCCGGGAGGTCACCCAGCCCAGTACTGCTCTCGCTCCAGGTTCGGCCTCGGAGGAGGGGCAGGGGCGGGAGCAGCAGAGAGCGGACGGAGGTACAGGAGGGGCAGCGGGATTGGGAGGGGAGGGCCAGGGAGTGAGAGAGGCAGCAGGGGATGGAGCAGGGGGGTCGGGAGGGTTGGGGGAGGGTAGAGAGGGGGAGGGGAGAGGACAGGTGGATGGAGGAGAGGAGAGGGGGAGAGAGACGATCGGAGAGGAGGCACCAAGGGACCAGACAGGGCAGCAGCCAGCGCAACAGCAGGGACCAGTCGGACGCACAGGCCGTGTAGGCACCGCCTCCCGCATCCCAGACCTCACCTGCCGCGACGTTGGCCAGGGTCTGATGGTTCTTGTGGATGTCTCCATAGCGGATCCACAGCGGGAGGGGAACGTGCAGCTGAGACGGGCGACCCCCACACAGATTGGAGTGGCAGCAGCTAGGCGGGTGCAGGAGAAGCTGCGGCACTGGGGGCCGCACTTAGAGGGGCTGCAGCCGGCACCACACTTTTACGCGTGCGTGGCGGAGACCTTTGGCCTTTTGAGTGAGCCGCTGCGTCAGTTTCTGGGGCTCTGCGCAAAGAGGATAGCACAGCGGAGGAGGGATAGAGGTGGGGGGGATGACGGATCGGCACGGATATTTGAGGCAGGACTCACTACACGCCTCTCCGTTGCACTGCAGCGCGCGCAGGCTCAATGCATGATCCAGCATGCGGTGCGGCAGTTAGGGGGATCCGACGACGGGTGGATGCCCGCACCAGTCCCACTGGGTGCGGGGCAGGGTACTTGGCACCACGTCACAGGGTGCTTCGAGAGTGTGGCTGATATGCAGTATATATATGATGCATATGTGTAAAAAAAAAAAAAAAAAAAAAAAAAAAAAAAAAATAGTGGCTGTGCTTGAAACGCTGTGCCCGTGCGGTCGTGCGGGTTGCTGCCGTGTTGTGGTCCTTTGGTGCTTCCTCCTCCTTAGTCTCTCTCCCTCTCTCCTCTTCTCTCCCCACCTCCCTCTTTCTGTTCCCTTCTCCTGTCCTTCCCTTCTCTTCCTACCACCCTCTTCTTCTCCCTACCACCTCTTCTTACTCCTTCATCCTTCCTTCCTTTCCTTTCTTTCCCCCTTTTCCTACAAAATATATATACCGTCCCCATAGCGATAAGGCTATGTCGAAATTTCCTAGTTTTGGAAAAACCATTATATTCGGCTTGTATTTGCTCTTCCCCTATTAATGAATAACTGCTCTCGCCCACCGGCGCTTAGCTTCGGAGTTCTGATGGGATCCGGCGTAGTAGCCGAGGTATGATCGTACCACGTCAACCTCGTGCCCCGACCGCTACACACCCCTTGCCCGGGTCCCCCCCTTCATAGTCACACCCCCTGCCCCCTCATGCCATCCGCTCCCCCCGCCCCTACCCTCCGCGTGCCCGCTCCCTTGCCGCCTCTTTTGACCCTCCCTGCCCCCCCTCGCCGTTTCCCACCGCCCGCCATTCGCTCCTCCCCGCCCGTGCGCTCCCCTCCTTTACCTTCTCCTCCCCCCTCCCCTCCTCTGCTGCACGCCTCTTCCTTCCCCTCGCCGACCCACTCCACTCCCTGCCCCTCCTCAATCCGCACCCTGCCCCTCGTATCTCGCCCCCCTATGCTTGGTTTCTCCCCTCCCTGCCCCTCGCCGCCTTTCCCCGCTCCCCACCTCCCCCCTCTCCCTGCCCCCCCCACTCTCCCCCCCCCTTGTCCTTGGCTTCCTACCTCCCTGCCTCACCTTTCCCCCCTCCGTGTGCTCAGCTTCTCCCCTCCCTGCCCCTCCCTCCTCCCCGCCCTGCCCCTCATTTTCCGCCCCCCCCACGCCCGGTTTCTCCCCTCCCCGCGCCTCCCTTTCTTTCTCCGTGCCTCTCCTTTGCTCCCTCCCTGCCCCCGCCTGCCCATGCCCCTGTCTTTGGCTTCTCCCCTCCCTGCCCCACGTTTCTTCCCTCCCTGCCCCCCGTCTGCCCCTCCCTTGTTTTCCCCTCACCCATTGCTTCTCTCCTCCCTGCCCTTGATTTCCCACACCCCTGCCCTCGTTTCCTATCATCCATGCCCCTCGTTTCCCCCCTTTGTACGTTCAGCCTCTTCCCTCCCTGCCCCTCCCTTCCTCCCCCCCTGCCCTTTGCTCTCCCCTCGTTACGCTCCCTTCTCCCCATCCCTGCTGCCCTCTTACCACCATCAGCCCATCCCCACGACCAGCCCCCCTCCCACCCTTCAATCCCCCCCTCCCTCTCTCTCTCTCTCTCTCTCTCTCTCTCTCTCTCTCTCTCTCTCTCTTTCTCACACACACACACACACGCACACTCCCCTCCCCCACCCCCCCCACGTACATCCTCCCATTCTGCCCCTCCCTGCCCCTTTCCCACCCCCTCGCACGCCCCTCACCTCCCACCTCCGTGCAACTGGTTTCCCCCCTATGGTGCCACCCTTGCATCGCTCGCCCCTCTGCTCACCCTCTGCCCGCCCCTTTTCCGTGCCCTCAGTTGGCCCAGCCCCTGCCCGTTGCTGCCCTTCCCCTTGCCCCCTCAACTCCCCTGCCCCCCGTACACCCCAAGTCCCATCCAACCGCCCCCACCCTCCCCCGGCTGCCCGTTTCCGCTCTCCACCCCCGCGACCGTGTGCGGCTTCCAACCGCCCAACGGTGGTGCGCACGGGGCGTTTCTTCGCACGGGCAAGCCTCCCCGGGGGCCCCCCACCCCGCTGGGTCGTTGTTTGGGCAAAAAAAACGAAAATGAAAGAATCGGACGCGCTAAAATCGTCCTTTCTTTTTCCCGCTTGCCCCTCCCCCGGCACGTGCCGAGCAAGGGGCATAAATGGGTACAACACGAGGACTTCCCGGGAGGTCACCCAGCCCAGTACTGCTCTCGCCCACCGGCGCTCTTACCTTGACCTAGCTTACCTAGCCATGGCTGCCTACTAAGGAGCCTCCTAAACCTACTATTTCGAGTTGCTTAAGGACAAAGTGATTGTGATAGTTGTTTATGTTATAGTTATAAGCGTTTCCAACGGTTAGTTTTTTAGTTTCGACTGTCGAGTTCGACGGGACGGGGGTCGCGAGTTTCGCGCGCGACCCTCAGGAGTCTCGGAAACGGAACTCGCGGGGTGTTACGGAACCGTTTGTTCGACCCCGCCATCGCGGGATCGCTGCGGACGCGCTGCAGCCGGTGTAACGGGAGGTGGGGCGCTGACGCGAAGTTCGCCCGCGGAGTGTAACAGCGCGCGCGACTCACAACCACAACTCCGCCAGACACGGTGTTCCCGCCCATCCCCTCTCTCGACACTCTCCCTTATCCCCCCGCTCTTTTCTGCTCACGGCTTTTCTATTCGAAGCGATTAGCTGCTACCGAGTTTTTTCCCGCGGTTTCCCTCTCTCGAAGTCACTGAGCTTAGCTTCCGCCCGTAGTTAGCACTCTTCCTTCCCTTTCGGTGCGCCCTTCTTTATCGTAACCCTAATTCGAAGAGCCGCGCGTTTCCAAGCACGCTTTCTCGTCGCCTATCATGTTTAGTCATGCACTCGTTTTCCCCGCCTGTTCAATCTAGCCGCGACGTAGACGGAACCGCGCACGGGGCGCTTACCGCCAGGGAAAGGCAGCGCGGAGGGAGGCGAAATTGCTACGTTCGTAGCGATTAAGCAGCCCTCCCCTTGCGCGCCTCCCGAAGCGCGTTTTCTGCCTAGAGCGTTTTAGCCGCCCACGTTTGGCACACAAGCCGCCCCACTCCCCTTTTGCTCACTCCCACCCTGCCGTGCCTCGTCGCGCACTCGTGCATGCCACCCACACGTCGTAATTTTACCCCGTCGCCACCCACATAGTCACCTCCCTGCTCACACCGCCCCTTTCCCCCTCACACGCGCGCTTTAGCCACCCCGCCACCTAACCTCTTTCCCTAACGGCGCTTAGCTAGCAGAGGCCGCCCTGTTTCTGGAAACCGTAGGAAATAAGAGGAAACAACTTCAAGGAAAAAAGAAAAGAAAAAGAAATTCATATAAATCCGAAAAAACCAGGAAAAATCAGAAAGGCAGCTTACACCTTGTTCTCCCAACCCTCCAGGGCCCCACCCAGTCCGCCACCCCCCCATTCTGTTTCATCATACTACACCACACCCTCCCCTTTTGCCCACCAGCATTACCGCCCCTCTCCCCTTATCCCCCACCACGCCCCCAAGCAGGCCTTTCTCCCCCCAGCCTCCCGTCTCCCTGCCCTTAGTACCGCCGCGCTCTGCCCGTGCGTCACCCTTGCCCACTTCATACCACCTCCCCCTTCTCCCCCCCCCCCGGCTTCTCCCTATCATCACCCGCATGTTCCCCCACTCCCCTGTCCACAACGTCCCTCCACCCCCCTTCCTGCTTTCCCCACTCCCACTCTGCCCCCCACACCTCTACGAGCCGTACTTCCCCCTCCAGCCTCCCTTTCCCCCCCAGCTACTTCCGCATCCAGCGTGGGCTGCACCTCTGCATCCCGCCCTGCCAGGCCCTTCGGTGACCCAACTGCCGCCACCTGGCACCACGCCGCCTTTCCCACCCCCATCCAATCTCTACACCCCCTGCCCCTGCTCCCTGCGCAATCCAGCCACCTACCCCAGCCTCCCTCTACCTCTCCCTAACTCCACACCGCCGTTCCTACCCCCAGCCAAGGTCTACACCCCTTGCTTTTGCTCCCTGGGCTGTGCCGTCCCCAACCTCCCTCCGCCTTTCCGCGGCACCAGACCGCCTCTCCCTCCCCCAGCCAACTTTTGCACCCCCTGTTCCTGCCCCTTGTGCCCTCCAACACCCTACCTCAACCCCCCCCAGTCTCCCCCTTCTCCAACACCCTCCATATTTCCTCCCCCCTGGGGCTCGCCCATCCGCAGCTATCACCCTTCATCGATTCCCCAATTCCCTCTGTCCCCTGTTTCCCGGCCCCGCATCCTATCCTGCATTTACCACAGCACCTCCTTTCGGTGCCCTCTCTGCCCTCCCACGTTCTCACCCCCCGCCTCCCAACCTTCTCATTACCCGCTACCAGGCTCACGCCAACTCGACTACCCACTACCCTTTGCCCCTTCCTCTCTGTTCCCCACCCTTCCTTTCCCACCTGGCTCCACCTGCCCACCCCCACCTCCCGTGGAATTCTGCCCTGCCCTCCCCACCTCTGGCCCACCACCTGTCCCCACACCCTGCTCACCCACCGCTACACCACCCCCGCCCCCCCACCTCCACTACAGCCCGCCAACACTTCCCCTCTCAATCGGCCCCCAGCCCGCCCCCCCCTTGGGCCCCAATCCCCTCCAACTGTCAGGCCCCCTCTACCCTCTCTTCCACCCACTGCGCACCGCTTTCCCCACCCTTTTCCCCTTTCCCCAAGCTAACCCCCCGCACCCCGGCCTCTGCCAGGGAGTTCCTTCCCCCTTTGACGCCCTCTTGAGCCAACCCCAGCAACTCACACCGCCACCGCCAGGCATGCTGCCTCTGTAACAATGCCCCAGCACCCCGCGAGTGGGGGAAAGGCAGGCCCGGGAGCCCCTCGGCGATCTGGGAGGTCCCGCAGCCGAGCCACCCCCTACTCTCCCACTCCCCCCACTTCAACAGTCAGGAAGAAACAACACACACCTGACCAAGCGAAAACACTCACACAATCTGACCCTAGGGGCCAGAAGCGTACCTTTGAAGAGGATGGAACAGAGGAACGCCAAGCCCCACTGGAGGAAATACACGAGGAGGAGCCAGCACGCTCAAAACCGCGCCCTACCCCCGCTGCCCCATCCCAGTCTACCCCCCCTTCAGGTGACAGCGGGGGCGGCACCCATGCATGCTCAGTAGAGAGATCCTCCAACTCACTCGCTACCTCCCATTCGCAAACCAGATTACTTGTGAAAACACTTAATCCTACCCGCACCCCCAAGCACATAGAAGCGGGAGAGGGCAGAGCCAGGGGGGAACTTGCAGCTGACACTGCACGGGAAGGGGTAAGTGAGTTTGTGTGTGAAGGAGCAGCAGAGGCTACAGAGGATGGGGCAGCAAAGGCTGCACGGGAAGGGGCAATGGGGGTTGTGGGGGAAGGGGCAGCAGAGGCTGCAGAGGAAAGGGCAGCAGAGGCTGCAAGGGAAGGGGCAGCAGCGGCTGCACGGGAAAGGGCGGCAGGGGCTGCACGGGAAGGGGCGGCAGGGACCGTGACTCTGGCCAGGCAAAGGGCAGAGGCCATGGAGACAGGTTTTGCAGGAGTAGGGGCCACGGAACCTGCTGCTGCGTCGGCTGGGGGAACCGCAGCAGAGGAGGCTATAGGGACCGCACCAGGTGAGGCCGCACAGACCACAGCAGGTGTGGCTGCAGGGATCACAACGGGTGAGGCTGCAGGAGGGACCATGGCAGGTGAGGCCGCAGGGAGCGCAGTAGGTGAGGCTGCGGGGAGCGCAGCAGGTGAGGCTGTAGGGGGCGCAGCAGGTGAGGCTGCAGAGAGCGCAGCAGGTGAGGCCGCAGGGAGCGCAGCAAGCGAGGCTGCAGGGAGCGCAGCAGGCGAGGCTGCAGGGAGCGCAGCAGGCGGGACTGCAGGGGCCACAGCAGGTGAGGCTGCGGCGGACGCAGCAGGTGAGGCTGCGAGGGCTGCATCATGTAAGGTTGGGCAGACTCTAGCAGGTGAGGCTGCACAGTCTACAGCTGGTGAGGTCGCATGGACTGCAACAGGTGAGGCCGCAGGGACTGCAGCAGGTGAGGCGGCAGGGACCACAGCGGATGAGGCTGCAGGCGGGACCATGGCAGGTGAGGCCGCAGGGAGCGCAGCAGGTGAGGCTGAAATAGCCGCAGCAGGTGAGGCTGCAGAGGCCGCAGCATGTGAGGTTGAGCAGATTCTAGCAGGTGAGGCTGCACAGACTGCAGCAGGTGAGGCCGCAGGGACTGCAGCGGGTGAGGCTGCAGGGACTGCAGCACGTGAGGCTGCAGGGACTGCAGCACGTGAGGCTACAGGGATCGCGGCTGGTGAGGCTGAGCAGATTACGGTAGGCGAGGTTTTACAGACTGCAGCAGTCGAGGCTGCAAGGACTGCAGCAGGAGCGACAGAGGCCACAGCGGGGGCTGGTATAGGGGGAGGTGCTACGGGTGCAGCGGGGAAGGGGGTAACGGGGACTGGTGCGAGGGAGAGTGCCGCCCCGGCTGTAGCAAGAGAGGGTACGGCAGGGGCCTCAAAGGCAGAAGGTGAGGCTGCAGCTGAAGCAGCAGGGAGGGCCATAGCACGGCCAGTAGGGGCGGCAGGGGCCGCAGCAAACTCGGGGAAACACACAGCAGGGCCGGCAGGGCCGGCAGAGACTGCAAAAGGGGCTAGCAGTAAAGCGGCAGCAGGCGGGGTGGGCTTGGGGGACATAGGGGCAACAGGGGAAGGAGAGGGGAGGGTGGTCCCGACCGGGGTGGGCACTGAAGAGGGGGATGTGATAGCGATAGAGGAGGATGAGGGAGAGGATGTGATGCACATTGACGGGCCACTGGCCCAATACCTCACGCTTGACGGTGAGGCCGACCCGGCCCCCCTGCAGCCTCACGTCGAGGTTCCCCCTCTACCCCCCATGCCCGTCCCCATGCTAGCAGAAGGACCGATGGAGGGGCTGGGGGAGACCTTGAGGACAGAGCCGCGCGAGGGAGCCCCCATCCTCACCTCCCGTCCTCCAGCCCACCAGCCCCCAGGAGCACCACTTCCCCACCCCCACCCTCAGGTCCCGGTAGTGTCCAGGGGGGCAGCCAAGGCCCTGGCCTTCTTGGCGGAGCCGTGCTCCCCGACCCCCACGCTGCTCCATGGCCAGCCCCCCTCTCCGTCCCCAACGCCTGACCCCACGGTTGCAGGCGGTCCACCGGGAGAGCACGCGGGTGCGACAAGAGCAGAGTCACCCGAGGGCACCCCTTCTCTCACCTCTCACCCCTCCCCGCCCCTTCCCTCACTCCTTCCTTCACCCCCAAGGGCAGCACACCTCTGCCCCCACCCTCAGGGGCTCCTTAGAGCACCACGTGGAGCAGCCAGGGCTCTGGTCTTCCTAGAGGAGCCATGCTCCCCGACTCCTACCAACACCCAGCCACCCCTTACCGGCCCACTACCCCCTCCTCCACCAGGCCCCCCCCCCACCCGGTAGTACACACATCTCGGAGGTTGAAGCATCTCTGCGGCCAAATCCCTCTCCCACACGCTACAGGCACCCAAACCACCCGAGTCGCCGCACAGCCCCAACACGCCCACCCAACAGGCTGCCCTCCCCACACCACCCCCCCCAGGCAGCCGAGACCCACCCGCAAGGGCTTGCGCCCCAGGCTCATGGGAGCGGCGGCACCCGGGTAGAGGGGCCCACAGGAGAGGCCACCACAGAGCCCACACAAATCTCTCTCCCCCCACCGTTTGTACCTCGCTCTAACCTCCACACTGGCCCAGCCCCTCGACCCCCACCTCCAACCCCCTCTCCCGGCCGGGTTCCCCACGAGTGGCCCCGTTGGGCAGCCATCACCCCCCACACACAGCTTGCCCGATCTGTTCCCACGGAGGGGGATGTTTCGAGGAGAGTGGGGATGCACACAGAGCACCCCCTGCCTGGCGAACCACCCATCCTCCCTCCACCCACCCCTTTGGCCCCACAGCCCCCCCTTCCTTCACAAACAGGCGCGGACAACCAGGTTGGCCGCCGGCGGAAGAACAGGGGCAGAGGAGGCAGAGGGTCAGCCCACGTACTCCCCCCTCCCTCCCTCCCCCACCAAGAGCCCCTCCCCACCTCACATCCCGTTGAACAATTACCAGGCCCTACCTCTACAGCCCGTCCACCAAACCTACACTCCCGCCCCGCTCCTGCACCTCCACAGGGCCATGGGAGCGGACCAGCCCACTCACCCCCATTCTGCCCCTCCCGTGCTGTGTCCCCCTCCCAGGTGGCGGCGGCCGCGATCGCTACTGGGAGGGGGGCCGTCGGGTTGAGGGATGCGCCCATGGCAGACGCCACCGACTCCCCCTCCCATCCCTCCCACCCCTTCCATGTCGACGACCCCCTACCGCAACCCATGGTGATTGGGGAGGGCCAAGGGGGCCTTCTAGGGCAGGGTCCACACCCGAGCTCCGCTCAGCCAGCACGCCCCACTCCACCCTCTACCCTGCCAGCCCTCCTACTCTCACCTACAGGCAGGCAGGTCTTCGAGACCCCAGAGGAGGTGAGGGCTGGCATTTCAGATTTGCTGGCGATACACCGCCTGAGCAGCTCTCCGGCTGCCCCCACCCTTCCAGTCCCACAGGACCGGACCCGGACGTATGCGGAGGTCACCCGGTCTGTCCCTTCTTTTATCCCCCCCGCCACTCAGCCAGGCGCGTCACTCCCGACCCCAATGGAGACGGACCGGGGTCTGAGGCCGTGTCACTCGCACCTAGACGGGGTGGCGCCTCCCCCCGTTCAGCCCGTGGCGCAGGAGGTCACCAGCAGTAGGGATGAGGCATCCGCCCCTACCGAGACCCCTCCGCCTGGGGTAGCAGAGCCGTCACTTGAACCGCACCCCGCCGAGGGGCAGGAGCACACCACGGCACACACTTCAGGCTCACCTCCACGTCCCCCCTCCCCAGCTTCAACACCGGTGCCGGCACGAGGCCCGGCCCTATCCTGTGCGACACCACCTCTATCTTCGCTGACACCCCCCCCCGCGCGGGGCTGGTGAGTCGTCTCCTCCCCTCATCCCAGGCGATCCTGTCGGAGCTCAGGCCGCCCACGGGGTCCCCTCTACAGCCAGTTCCGACGCCACGGCCCCGATTGACCCCGCCGACACGGCGACATCACCCGACCAGGTCGTGAGTTGCCCCACCTGCAGGAGCTCTCTCGCGAACCGACGCGCGCTCCAGCACCACATTCCCTTCTGCCATCCTGCGGACGCGGCTCGCAGGGCGCAGGCTGCCCATGATACCGCCTCGATCATCCCTTCCCTCTCACAGCCCCGTGCGACCGGGATGCAGTTCACCGACGCACAGTGGCAGACGCTCGACTCGGTGGACTGGACAGAGTACTTCTCGCCCGAGCGTATCCATACACGCCCTCTCCGACGTGTCCCGGAGAGGGTCCGCGGAGGATATCTTGACGTCCTCAGTGCGATCCTAGTCCGCATTGCCCAGGACCCGGAGGCTGCTGGCCCTACCTTCCTCCTCGCTGCAGCGCCGACTCTTTTCCTTGTTCCAGCGACGCCACCCGACCGCTCGCACACGGCTGCCATTGCAACGCGCATCTCTCGCTTTGGTCGAGGTGAGTGGGCTGAGCTAGTCTCAGATGCACTAGGCCGTCGCACACCCCTTCCTCGCCGCACAGGTCACCGGTCACGCACCGCCACCGATCCCTCTGCAGCAGATGAGCGCCGCATTGCACGTTGCCTTCGTCTGGCAGCGTGCAATGAGACCTCACGGGCGTGCGCGGCTCTCGAGTCCGCGGAGGCAGCCCCAGATACACAGGGGACGATACAGCGCCTGCAGTCGAAGCACCCCAACGCGGAGAGGCCGACCCCAGCTTGGCTGTCTGGCTTCCAGGGGTCCCCTCTCGTGCTCTCGGTGGATCACTTACGCCGCGCGATTTTCACAGCTCCGCGGGGCTCTTCGGGAGGACCGTCCGGTTGGGTCGCTGAGCACCTGCGAGACACTTTCCTAGCTTTCCCTCAGAGTCTCCATTTCCTCCTGGCCGTGTACCAGCAGTGGCTCCGAGGCCGTTGCGCTCCAGCTGCGCGCTCCTTGCTAGCGTCCTCCACCCTCGTGGCTCTGGCGAAGTCGAACATGGATGTTCGGCCGATTGCCATCGGCGAGGTTTTGGTCCGCATTCTTTCTCGGGCAGTTTGTCTCCAGCTACGTGACCAGATGGCGAGGGTCTTCTTGGCATCACAGCAGTTTGGGGTGGGGGTTACGTGCGGGACAGAGGTCGTAGTTAGAGGCGTCCGCCGCGCTCTGGCTGACCACCCAGACTGGGTGGTCCTGCAGCTAGACGTGGCGAATGCCTTTAACTCTTTCCACCGAGACAGGATGTTTCAGGCGCTGCAGGCCAGTCCGGAGTTTCAGTGTCTGATCCCCTTCATCGGCCTCTTCTACGGGACGCCCTCGGATCTCCACTACAGGTCAGGCACGGGAGTGGTCACGATGCACTCGGAGCGGGGCACTCGCCAGGGAGACCCTCTCAGCCCCTTCTTGTACGCTCTGACACAGCGTCTTGCTTTGGAGCCGGTTCTGGCGGAGGGGGATGTCCAGCTCTGGTCGTACGCCGATGACACGTACGTGCTAGGTCCCCCAGACAGGGTGCTGCACCATTTTGCCGAGATCGTGAGGCGCTTGGGCGAGATGGGCCTTGCAGCCCAGCCGCACAAGTGCCTCGTCTACCAGACAGAGTCCTTTCTGTCCAGGGATCTGGAGGCTTTCACGGGCCTAGGGATCGAGGTCGCACGCCGAGGGCTCACCGTGACAGGCGTACCGGTAGGCACCGTTTCGTTCGTGGAGCAGAGTCTCCCGGATCGTCTCGAGAGGATGGGGCGGGTGCTACCTTGGCTTCCGAGGTTGCGCCAGCCCCAGACAGCTGCCCGCTCTTCTTTCGGCGTGTGTCAGCACTCGTCCGCAGTACCTGTCGAGGACCGTCCCTCCTTCCGCCCGCAGTGATCTCCAGTTTTACACGGTGGGACGCACGCCTGGGAGAGACTTTTCAGCAGCTTTTAGCTTCAGGGACCTGGGCTTGTCGCGAGGACGTCCGAGAGGCCGCCCTAGACCAGATCTTCCTCCCCATCCGTCTCGGGGGTTTCGGCATTCGTCGCATGGCGCGCATGGCCCCGGTGAGTTTCGTGTGCTCCTGGGTGCAGTGTGCACCCATTCTCTGTTCTCTCCCTGCGTGTGGCGAGGTGTTTCGGCAGAGCTTCGCTTCAGGTGAGCCAGAGCAGATCGACCGGGCTCTGCAGACGGCGCTAGAGGGTCTCCCTCCTGACGTTCTCTCTCTCCTTCCCCCCTGGCCCTCTTGCGCTTCTGCCTCCCCCGATTCCCTTTTTGCAGGAGCGAGCCGTCTTCTGGAGGCGCATGCCTTGGAGGCCGTGCGTGCCCGTCACACCTCTCCCTTGCACCTTGCCCGTTTGACTTCCCTTCAGGGCGGAGGTGCAGGAGCGTGGTTGACGTCGGTGCCGTACGCCGACCCACTTGCGCATCCCGGAGGCGCTGTGGCAGGCGGCTTCATCTTCTCGTCTTGGTCTCCCTATCCCCCAGTTAGCCCTTGCAGGTCAGTGCTCCTGCGGACAGGCGATTGACGACATGACGGTGCCTCATCACGCGGTTCGGTGCCCGCGTTACGGGGGTCGCCACTACCATCCACGACACGGTGAAGTACATGCTTCGAGACTTTGCGGTCGAGGCGGGCTTCGCGGTAAAGGTGGAGGACTCTACGCTGTTCACACAGTTGGAGGCGGCTCGAGCGAGACTACTGGGACAGCCAGTGGTGGGAGAGGGGACACGGGCTGAGGGACCGGGGGAGCGGAGAGGCGAGGCGGGACAGCCGGGTGGCGGGGGACAGTGGGGACGGCACCAGCTGCGGGGGTCAGGTGGAGCGAGGGACAGGTGGGCAGAGGGGACGGCAGGGGGAGCAGACGGGCCAGGACGGGGAGGGGGGACGGCACAGGCAGCAGCAGGAGAGCCAGTGGAGGCCGCGGGCCCAGGGCGCCGCGCCTCCAGGTTCGGCCTCGGGGGCGGGGCAGGGGCGGGAGCAGCAGAGAGCGGACGGAGGTACAGGAGGGGCAGCGGGATTGGGAGGGGAGGGCCAGGGAGTGAGAGAGGCAGCAGGGGATGGAGCAGGGGGGTCGGGAGGTTTGGGGGAGGGTAGGGAGGGGGAGGGGAGAGGACAGGTGGATGGAGGAGAGGAGAGGGGGAGAGAGAGACGATCGGAGAGGGGGCACCAAGGGACCAGACAGGGCAGCAGCCAGCGCAACAGCAGGGACCAGTCGGACGCACAGGCCGTGTAGGCACCGCCTCCCGCATTCCAGACCTCACCTGCCGCGACGTTGGCCAGGGTCTGATGGTTCTTGTGGATGTCTCCATAGCGGATCCACAGCGGGAGGGGAACGTGCAGCTGAGACGGGCGACCCCCACACAGATTGGAGTGGCAGCAGCTAGGCGGGTGCAGGAGAAGCTGCGTCACTGGGGGCCGCACTTAGAGGGGCTGCAGCCGGCACCACACTTTTACGCGTGCGTGGCGGAGACCTTTGGCCTTCTGAGTGAGCCGCTGCGTCAGTTTCTGGGGCTCTGCGCAAAGAGGATAGCACAGCGGAGGAGGGATAGAGGTGGGGGGGATGACGGATCGGCACGGATATTTGAGGCAGGACTCACTACACGCCTCTCCGTTGCACTGCAGCGCGCGCAGGCTCAATGCATGATCCAGCATGCGGTGCGGCAGTTAGGGAGGTCCGACGACGGGTGGATGCCCGCACCAGTCCCACTGGGTGCGGGGCAGGGAACTTGGGCACCACGTCACAGGGTGCTTCGAGAGTGTGGCTGATATGCAGTATATATATGATGCATATGTGTAAAAAACAATAGTGGCTGTGCTTGAAACGCTGTGCCCGTGCGGTCGTGCGGGTTGCTGCCGTGTTTGGTCCTTTGGTGCTTCCTTCTCCTTAGTCTCTCTCTCTCTCTCCTCTTCTCTTCCCACCTCCCTCTTTCTGTTCCCTTCTTCTATCCTTCCCTTCTCTTCCTACCACCCTCTTCCTTTCCCTACCACTTCTTCTTACTCCTTCATCTTTCCTTCCTTTCCTTTCTTTCCCCCTTTTCCTACAAAATATATAAATCGTCCTCATAGCGCTTAGGCTATGTCGAAATTTCCTAGTCTTGGAAAAACCATTATATTCGGCTTGTATTTGCTCTTCCCTTATTAATGAATAACTGCTCTCGCCCACCGGCGCTTAGCTTCGGAGTTTCTGATGGGATCCGGCGTAGTAGCCGAGGTATGATCGTACCACGTCAACCTCGCGCACCCGACTGCTACACACCCCTTGCCCGGGTCCCCCCCTTCATAGTCACACCCCCTGCCCCCTCATGCCATCCGCTCCCCCCGCCCCTACCCTCCGCGTGCCCGCTCCCTTGCCGCCTCTTTTGACCCTCCCTGCCCCCCCTCGCCGTTTCCCACCGCCCGCCATTCGCTCCTCCCCGCCCGTGCGCTCCCCTCCTTTACCTTCTCCTCCCCCCTCCCCTCCTCTGCTGCACGCCTCTTCCTTCCCCTCGCCGACCCACTCCACTCCCTGCCCCTCCTCAATCCGCACCCTGCCCCTCGTATCTCGCCCCCCTATGCTTGGTTTCTCCCCTCCCTGCCCCTCGCCGCCTTTCCCCGCTCCCACCTCCCCCCTCTCCCTGCCCCCCCCCACTCTCCCCCCCCTTGTCCTTGGCTTCCTACCTCCCTGCCTCACCTTTCCCCCCTCCGTGTGCTCAGCTTCTCCCCTCCCTGCCCCTCCTCCTCCCCGCCCTGCCCCTCATTTTCCGCCCCCCCCCACGCCCGGTTTCTCCCCTCCCCGCGCCTCCCTTTCTTTCTCCGTGCCTCTCCTTTGCTCCCTCCCTGCCCCCGCCTGCCCATGCCCCTGTCCTTGCTTCTCCCCTCCCTGCCCCACGTTTCTTCCCTCCCTGCCCCCGTCTGCCCCTCCCTTGTTCTCCCCTCACCCCATTGCTTCTCTCCTCCCTGCCCTTGATTTCCCACACCCCTGCCCTCGTTTCCTATCATCCATGCTCTCGTTTCCCCCCTTTGTACGTTCAGCCTCTTCCCTCCCTGCCCCTCCCTTCCTCCCCCCCTGCCCTTTGCTCTCCCCTCGTTACGCTCCCTTCTCCCCATCCCTGCTGCCCTCTTACCACCATCAGCCCATCCCCACGACCAGCCCCCCTCCACCCTTCAATCCCCCCCTCCCTCCCTCTCTCTCTCTCTCTCTTTCTCTCACACAACACACACACGCACACTCCCCTCCCCCCACCCCCCCCCCCACCTACATCCTCCCATTCTGCCCCTCCCCTGCCCCTTTCCCCACCCCCCTCGCACGCCCCTCACCTCCCACCTCCGTGCAACTGGTTTCCCCCCTATGGTGCCACCCTTGCATCGCTCGCCCCTCTGCTCACCCTCTGCCCGCCCCTTTTCCGTGCCCTCCAGTTGGCCCAGCCCCTGCCCGTTGC